CGAATAAAAATATGATATAATTGTGATGTGACAATAATATTAATTAAGAATTTTTGCATCTATAAATGTTTTGAAATCTTGTTGATTCTGCTTAAATGAAAAATTTTCATGGAACTAATTATACATATATTTAAGTAATAGATTTATCGTTAATAATATTTTATTAAGATAATAGGAGAGATGTTTCCTCGACTTTATTTGTATCATCAAAATCTTAATCAGATACATATAAAAGGAAACTTTTTAAAACTTTGGCAGATTATCATATCTAGTTGTTTTTAAATAATTGCAAGGCTTCAAACCTATTGCTTTTACTACGATTGAAAAATGGTAACAACACGATCGTATACTATTTTATCATTATATCAATAAATTAAATTTATAAATTTTCGAGACTATCTCCAATTTTTTATTGACAGATGATATGAGCTCATCAGATCGCAAGGCACTAATTATCGTAAAACCATGTATTTGACTAATGACAGATATGCTAAATTCATTTGGATTATTGTAGTAGAAAAAGGAGTTCAAATATTGAAAGATTTACACCATATAATTTTTCAAGTTGATCAAGATCATAAAGAAACAATCTAGGCAACGGTGGACACTTTTAAATGAATGTTTATCATTTGCCACAAATTGTGGTTCCCTAAATCACTCCCTAAAAAATTTCCACATTTGGGGATACTCAACCAATTAAGGTATATTTTGGTGACCAAGTAGGGATTTTTTTTATTTAGGGATTTTTCTATAATAATGTATACTATAATCTATTACTGTTCTAATACTCATATCATAATGTACATTGTTTCACACTAATATCATACATTTTCAAGCATAATTTCAGCTAGAGTTTAGTAAGAACAGCATCTATGCGATATAATTTACAATATTTTTATGTCGAAATAGTGCTGTTACAAAGGTATTTGAACGCGTTCGGAGCATCATAATATAGCGTCATCGTGGTGTAAATATATATTATCCATTAGTTTAACAATACTTTTTGTTATTATGCATTCTACAAGCTTGTCATGTTTCTAATATTACTACTAACATAATTTTTTAAAATCTTCATTATTATTTATTGCATGGTGCATTACTATGGTAAAAAATAACTTTCTGGTCACCAAAATATAGACTAAAAAGTCAACATTTTTATGGATTATTCCACCTCTGCGAAAAACTAGTGTAAAGCTTTTAATGTAGATTAACATACTCAACATAAATATTCCACTACAATATATAGATTTATTGACTGCAATATATTACCTTCTATCGACAAACGTCATAAAGTCATGTTGTCGTAATGTTACATACATTCTGGTTAGCAAATTCATAATAAATTTCATTAAAAATAGTTTCTAGTTTTTCTCTTCCGATAGATTTCACTATTTCATATCAGGTTGTATTGAAATAGATAAGTATAGACATCTATTACTTAAAAATATTGGTTTCTGATTTGTATGCGTCACTATATTAGCTAACAGTGTCGTAGTATGCTTACAAAATTTTGATTAAATATGTCTATCCCATTTAATTTGGAAATATTTACTCTTGTTGTTATAATGTCGTAAAAGAAGTAGGGTACCATATACATCATATAAAAAAATCCCTAAATAAAAAAAATCCCTAAATAAAAAAATCCCTAAGAAAATTTCCTACTTGGTCACCAAATGTGGAAACTTTTTAGGGAGTGATTTAGGGAACCACAATTTGTGGCAAATGATAACCTATCTTTTAAATATGTGTTTTTATTCAACAAATTAAATGGAAAATCGTTATGCAGAAATTATCGAAGTTTCACCTATAAAAAAATGTTTTGAATGCATTAAAAAAAAGTTAAACGAGGGCAAATATTCAATACTATAGAATATCTAAAGAATGATATTGAAATTTCTTTATGTCAACATATAGTCGATCAAATATCTGCACGCTTTAAATTATTAATCAATCGCGAAGATAATCAAGTACATAGACTTGAACAATATTTCTTCTTATTTCACAAAGTTCTTTTCATTTAAAAATGTTAATTATAACGAATTGGAAAAACTAATAAAATAATACATGATAGTATTGTTACAATTTCTCAAATCTAGCAAAAGTTTTAGATCTGAAAATGATGCATTTAAAAACTACTTCATAAGTTCTGAAATATTCTTTAGATTCTAATGACGACATAAACTAAAATTTAATTCTGACGAACTAAATAAACTATTTTCTTAGTAATGTAGAATTTATTATTAGACATTGCTAATGTACACTAATATTATTCTTATCTCTAATACAATAAACAATAATTAATTTATATAAACAACGTTTCTATTTTTAAAAGCCAATATTGTTATTCAGAACGAATCATATGATATCCGTATTACGACGATTTACGGTTATTGATGAGTGTGGTTGTTTGATCTGGATATTTTTTTGATACTTTAAACAAAATATAAAATGAACTAAAATTTAATTTTGACAACAATTATTTTGACGACATTTCATTATTCACATTAAGAAAAGACTTGAATAAAAATACATCAAATTACATAGATTCATGCATTTCATAGAAATGCAATTTAAATACTCCTGAGAGCTTTCACATTAATATTTAATCTATCTTTCTGTTTATTAAATTCTAGATGAAAGGTAAACAGTATACTTGTCTACTTAAAAATGTATTTTCATAATTATTTAAAAATACCTTAATAATAAACTATATCGTTCTTCCATATTTGATACTATCATCATAGATATGCTTCCAAATTTTATATATTTCAAGACAAACTTCGTTTTAGTCTTCTATTCTAACATGACATTGCATCTTAGCGACATCTAATACTGATTTAATATAATAATCAAAGGCAAGCATAAAATATACGTTTGATGTAGTATTACTAATGACCGTATCTTTTTTTTTATTAAAGACAAATATATATACATATAAATAGAGAACATTAATTGTCTATTGCATGAATTTGTTACAAAAAATTTGATCAAATATTTTATTAAATAACAACAATATTATACTACTTTCTTTCCTGCATTTTTATCAAGCAATTGCATGTCTTTACACTTTCATGAACAACGTTCTACGTTGTTGATTGAAAGCATAAGAAGAGAAAGTAGCTTTTTTAAACCAATAGGAAAAAAGAGTCAGCGTGAGCACATATACATAAACCAAACTACTAAGTAGAAGTGCAAAAGAAAAAGAAAACCTAAAATACAAACAGAATAGAAAAATCTGGAAAGAAAAAGAGGAAAAATAATGTAAAGATGAAGAAAGAGAGAAAGAAAGAAAGGCAGAAGACAAAAAAGAAATAGCAATCATTCAAAGCACATATGACAGAACCAACAGCAATGCCGTCGAATGACGATGACGAACCACTTTTAAATACAACAATAGATAATTCGACGAATACTAATCGTCGATGTCCAACATGTCAAGGAACAGGTCAAGTAACAACAGCACCCGGTCTTGTTGCCTTAATTCCACTTGATGATGCTCGTCTTAAACGACGACCTATTATTTTATGGATTATATTAACAATTATTTTTTGTACAATTATTGCTTCAGCTGTTATTGTAACTATTCTTCCACGTTCTGTACATTTATCCATAAAAAATCCAATTATTATTGATGTTACAAATGATACATTTCGAAATACAACTTGTTTTCGTTTAACATTTATACATCAAACAAATATTCGATCAGATAATTGGGTACCAATACGTTTAATTAATTTAACAACATCAGTTGAACATCAACTTCTACCAATTGGTCCTAATGCACAAAAAATTTATGGACATCAAATGTATTTAAGACCATTAGGCACAATAAAATCAAATGTTACTGTACAACTTGATTTTGATACAAATACAATGGCTTATCGTGCTTGCCAAGGTGTATTTCGACAAATGCTTTTATTTAAATTACAAACAACATTAACCTATGCGGATTTTCTTCTTGGTCGAATTCAAACAACAAATAATGTTTCTTATCAGTACGTGCTATGTAACAAAGGAGAATGGAAACCACATGAAAGTAGCGTAGAAAATATTACTAAAAATGTTTGATGACACTATAATACTGATTTTTTAACTACGCACAATAACAAAAAACACTTATTTTTCAAAATTGTTGTTGTTTTAGGTGACATTCTTCTTTCTTTCTTTTTTTTTATTCGACATGTTCTTGCTGAACTTTTTCTATAGACGAAAAAAAATCAAAGATGAACACTAATTGCAAAAATTAATTCAATAAAGTAACACAAATTTTGTGTTTTAAAAAAATAATTCTTTACAACAAACAATAAAATAGTATTGAATTTCATTTGATGTCGATTTATTATCTTTTAGAAGATGAAAATAGGTAAATGGCAATCATTAATTTATACCATTATAAAATAATAAAAACAAAAAACAATTTGACAATTCATAAAGATATTTTACCAAACATTACTTATATGAATGTTTTTGATAGTATTCGAAATTATAAAAAAAAGAAGGTTTTATTAATAATTTAAAAATAATTATACATAGTATATTATCATTAAAGCATTGAAAACTTTAAACAATAAATTAAATTTATACTACTTTTTACTTGACATAAACAAAAAATTTCATACTTATAATTTCTAATACAGGTGACATAATCAAATTCTTTCATAATAAAAAAATTATTACAGCAAAAATACTAATATCTAATTTTTCGCATAGATTAAAATATTCTTTCTGATTGAATTTTCAGTTAGTTGCTTGATATTAAAATTAAAATCGTTAGATTTCATTCATCTTTGAATTATATTATTGTAGATCAATTATTTTGAAGTACCGAATTTCTTTAGTTTTGAACTTTTATATCAAGATGTACATTTGTATACATTTTATTTCTAAATGAAGGTAAATGTATATTTGTATGCATTCATCCATGACCAATATACGAGAAATATCAGCATTAAAAAACCTGTTTAATATATATGTTAACCTTTGTCATGAAGCATAATTTAATGATGAAATTATTAGAACATTGTAATATACCATTCATATTTTTCTTGTTATTCGGATGTGTTTTAATAAATTTTTTTATATCGTATAAATCTTTTACTCGAACAAACAATTATGATAAAACAATACACAATGAAAATGAACAACAATTAATTTGGACATATGAAATGAAACTCTTCTGTTCTAAACTACAGCAACGTATTGAGAATGAGAAAAAAAATAAACTATTGAATCCATTATTTAATCGTAACATTACAATTATATCATCGAATTTAAATAAATATATCAAACGACAATCTATAGAAATTTCTTATTATTATTCTGATTGGCATTCTTCACCCGATTTACCTCGTCGACTTACTCCATGTGATCATCAATTATATACAGAACTACTTAGAATTCTTGATCATTTCTTTCGTCAACATAACATCTCCTATATGATGACGGATGGAACATTATTAGGTAAGCATAAACAACGATTAGACTATGAATCATTTTGTCTTAGTTACGTAATTTCTACTCAAAAATAACAAATTTTTTTTTTTATTAATAAATAACTAATATTGTTGAAAAACTAACATTTGTTTTAGGTAGTTATACACATCATGATTTTTTACCATGGGATGATGATGTTGATTTGCGCATATTTATGCGTGATCGTTCACGTATGTATACTCTTCTTCATCAAGAATTAGGTCATACCATTAGAATATTAAATATTTCTAATCAATTTGGATGTTATGATATATTGTATTTTCCTTGGTCACCACAAGCTGGTGTATACAATTGGTCATATCCTAATGTTCATATTACTTATTTAGATGAAAATTCTACACATATATGGAGAGAATATAATGATGAACATTCCATTCATGATTGTTCTATTTCTAAACTTGATATATTTCCATTTGTTTGGCGTCCATTCGGTCAAATTTGGTTGCCTGTAAGTTTTGCTTGAATGTCTTAAAATTAAATATGTTTTATCAAATCATATGTGATGTTTAGGCTCCTCGAGAACCTTTAGTCATTTTTGAATTACTTCAATGGAAATCATTGGATAAAATGTATTATGCCAAGAATTATTCACACAAATATGAACGAGAAATACCATTTATAGATGGTCGTGCACGACCACATCAACTTTATCCATATTATCCTTGGGTGAAACGATATTGTTTAAAAACATATTGTATTGAACAACTTGTGGCAATTTACAATAATACAAACATTACAATACATACTGTGAAGTTTGAAAAATATAGAATGAAACTATCGTTTGATTCCAAATTAAAGAATAGGACTTGTTCATTATGATAGAAACAAGATTTATTTATTTAATTGTTGAAATCTTGATGAAAGTAAAATATTTGTATGAATCAAAGAAGAAATAGTTCATGAATGTTAAAAAGAAAGAATTTATTTTACTAATGAGAACACATTTGAATTTTAGAATATATGGCCCTTCCTTAAAAACTGTTATCTGTATCATATTCAAGTTAAAGAAAAGATTTTAAGGCAACTTAAGACTCAATATATCTTGCTAGACCTTTTGACTTCTCGACGACAATTAAAAAAAGTAACGTCTCATACACTTTAATTCAGATATTAGCTGAAAGCTCATCTAGAGATATATTTACACATGATAAAGATATTTTCTTTTTCCTTAGTAATATTCTTATTGTTAGCCTATTGCTACTGCTGTTCGAATGAAAAATGAGGCAATGAAAAATTGAATTGGATTAATATTTGGCTAAGATAGTATTCAATATTAGCCATGTTCATTTACTTCTGTTTTTTTGGACTTAAATTTTGATTTATCATTAGCAAACAATTCTTTTCTTAATCTAGAAAACGTATAATTGTTGTTAATAAAATTTCTGTTTTGTAAACTTGATAGAAGGCGCTCATATTTTCATTATAGAACATGCATAGATGGGTAATTTATTATCCACTCGATTGGGTTTCTCATCACTATTTCAGCATAAATCAAAACTACGTGTCAACGATGGTGATCAAACAATAGAAGAAGTGTCGACACTAAATGACAGTAATCATATGTCGATAATTGATAACGATGTTTCTTCAAGTAGTATACATTTTGTTAGCGAATTTGTACCCGAACGCTATTTAGTTTTACTGACTGAACAAATGACTGAAATGCTATTTCGTTTAATGACTTGTAATGATACATCAACAATAATGTCTGAATGTAGATATGATCATCGAACACCATTAGATATTAGTGCTGGTAGTGGTAACGTATCAACACCAAGTTCAAATTCTACCAATGGCCGACCTTCATTACAATTACAGTCAATGCATCAATCGTGTATCAAATGTAAAAGAAAAATGTTGACTATTGAAGAATTTCGTGAATTACATTGTTAACATTTGTTTTACGTACGAACACTAAGTGTTCGTATACATTTGATCTTACTACATTCTTGTTTGATACTCTATCTGTCTGTTTATTTCATAAATAATAAATGCTTATATATACAAATATTAAAAAGAAAGCATAGGAAGACAGAAAAGACAGAGGACAAGTTCGAATATGTTAGCATGGTTACGCAACAGATTAAAGTAAAAAGATAAAATTGAAGAAGAAAAGAAACGAAAATATCAAGATATATTGTATAGTTTACACTGTAACATATATCAGTTTTGAAAATGAGTCACAAAAAATGTGACCCGACCTGAGCTAATCCGAGTACAATCGGATCCACCCGAGGTCAACTATTGCTTTCGTGACTCACCCAGAGTCAGACGCTGCAATAAACATCGTATTTGTCCTCATCATAAAAATTGGCCTATATTCAGTTGTTAATCTATAGTTTCGTACAATGCAATATGTTAAACTACAATTTTCGACCTTTAATTTGAAGCAAAGTTGGAAAATTTTCATCTTACATAATGCTGTGATAGACGTCTGATACTTTAAATCACGAGTAGTGTTAACTCAAGTTTATTCAAAAAAAAAAACATTTCAAAATCTACCATATCGTTTTTAAGAAGATTGGAACTCAACATGAGATTTTCCGAAACTCTCGACATTCAAAGATCTTTGCTTGAGAAAATTTTCCAGAAGTCATAGATAATCCATTGAAACAAGGATAGTGTAAGCTTCATGTTCATCGACAAAAGTTAGAGTTTTTACGGAAGTATATCAACTATATAAGAAATTCAGTTTCGTCGGATTGACAGTTGCTCCAAAGCAATGAGTTTTAGAGATGTAGCTTTAAAAATTCTTCCATACTGAGTATGTTTTATGCTCTATCCTATAGTTGAATCGAAATTTCAAAATAGGGTTCACAAACAATATAATTGACAGATTTCGGTGAGTATTTTTCAATAAAATAAACTATCGAGCTTGTTTTACTGAAATAACAGCATAATTCGGATGAAATTCAAATCTCCATTTGCACACAACTCGAGAGAGCTACAAGTCAAACATACTTAAATCTTACCAGGAGAGAGTTCTGTAAAAAGTAGACGGAGTTGCGTTGAAAAATTTTACTAATATTTCAGAAAGAAAATCAATTTAGATAGTTTAATAATAAATCAGTCACTTGTTTTTTAATCATCACTGCAATTATTCTATATGAAAAAAAATTTAGATACTATACGGTTGTATTAATAAATAATAGTGCTCAACCAAAGAGAATAGATGCAATTACACACGATAATTGATTTATTTACAAATAATTCGATCTATATTTTTATTATCAATGCCAATGCTTTTTCTCATGTCAACATTAAAACAACTGTTTATTTATTAATCGATACATACGTATTTCACGAAATATATTAGTCATGAGATTAGAACAATCATGTTTCTGTCATTTTAATAGAGTTGAGAAAAATTCTAAGTGATGATATGATGAAATGGACATTTTCATAGATAAATCAGTGAAATAATCTATGAATTAAAGTCGTAACATTATCTAGAATTTTCTTTTATTTTTATGTCTTTGTATTCTTACATTTTTTTTCTTCATCTTAGAAGGATTTCGTTTAATAATAAATTGTTATTGATATTACTCAAAAAGTCAAACGTAAAAGAAGATCTGACATTGTACAGTATGAATTTGAAATATCAAAATTTCAAGAAAAGAATCATCGAGACTTGCCTTAAGAATTGTTTCAAAAAAGAAAAATTGAACTTTTCTTGTCTGTTTTACATTACAATTAAAACTTTTAGAATAAAAAACCTTCATATTCTAGAAAAAAAATATTTTGTGAATAAAAAAAATTTTGTTACTCATTCCCAATCGTTTTTCTCGTTATATGAGAAGATAAAAGATCAGGTTTTGAAGATTCATAGAAGAACACTTACTTCTTCATGACCATTAACTTTAAGAAAAGCTTTGATACTAATAGTTACGTGTATGCTCAGCCAAGAAAAATTATACTAATAAACTTTCCACGCTTACAGTAAACAGTTGCTATGAACTGAAAATACTAATGTAACATCATTTCAACGATGAATCTTCAATACAACTACCAGTTTTTATGAAATTTATCTTGAATATGTCATACACTTGTGTAAAACCATTAGAAAGTAGTGATTTCTCGTTGATGATATGGAATTCTATATTTGTATAGTATATAATGCTTGAATTTTTATACTCTCTATTCTATTTAGTTATAAACATGATTGAAAATTTTCTAATGCTTAAATATTTAAAATACTCGAGTTCACAATGTCTCACTGAAAGCTACCGTGAGTCTTTTCTCTTCATTTATCGACTCTTGCTGAGTCATAGCAAATGTAGGTGATTTCAATTGATAGACAAAAGCGACCAACTACTCTAATTGGTTAATATTAGTATAAAGTCACAGCTGATTTTTTTTAGCAAAAATTTTGGCTATTGATTAATCATAAGTTTTGTTATGCTCATACATCAATGTTTGCTTTCTTTTTTTTTTTATACACGTTTTAATTATCCGTATTGGCTATGTTTTTTTCATCATTTTATCTCATAAATAATTTTATCCCGCTTTCGTCTTCTTTTACGGCCTTTCATTCTTTGATATCACTCAAAGAAAAAGGAATCAAGGAATTTTTTTGTCATATGGAGATGCACAACAATCGAACAAAACATATGGCTGTTAATACATCATAATGAAGACTATTATTTTTCTTCAAACGCTAAACGACTTCTTTCATTTTATAAATAATTTAATTATCAATATACGTCTACTACTAACCATCAAAATAAAAAAAATTCTGCACTCTAATTCAACGTAGAAATTACAATATTTTTTATGATGTCTATTTTTCATGGAAGTTATGTGATGTATACACGTGTATATGAGCAAAAGAATCTCAAAATGGTAAACGAAAAGAAAAAAAAAAGTGTGCAACGAAGCAAGACGAAAAGCGCATGTGCATGCATTTGTATGACAATACTGACGATAGTCACAATATGTTCACAGGATACTATGGTCGTCGTCGGCTAAAAAGTATATTAGCACTATGTCTCGGTTTTCTAGTCTTGATAGCACTTCTCTATGAACCACAAAGTAAAGATTTTCATTTATATATTTATAAGAAAAATTATTCTTTACCATGTAATTATTTTATTTAGAGCAAGGACGTCAACTATATACAGACTTGCCACCACCTACTCAAGTACAGAAAACTCCAGCACCACCCTTGGCACCAATACAAAAACGACCAGGTGTTATGTCCTTTGTTGAATTTACTAACTCGCCTTATTTAGTTTTTCAATCACTACCCACTAATTTTATACCCATTATGATTTTATCTAAAGCAACTAATATTGAAGTACGTGATGCTATTCGACGCACATGGGGTTTTTATAGATCATATCGGAATGATACTCTACGAATGAAAGTATTCTTTATTGTTGGCATTGATGATTTTATGACACAACGCATACGTACAGAACAAAATGTTTTTGATGATGTCATTCAAATTGCTGTGCCAGATATGTATTCATTTTCAGCATACAAAGAACTTTCTGCTATGGTATGGGTACGCAGTTATCTGCCGAATGTACCATTTTATATTAAAACTGAAGATGATGTTATTATTAATACGAAAATATTAGCTGATCGACTCTTACCATTAATCGAATCTGTTGCTAATCAAAAACTAATTATCGGTTGGTTTGGTTCAGACAATGCTATACAACGAGGGTCCTATCAAAAATATATTGATGCTGTGATGACACAAACAACTGGTGATGTACGCTATGCAATGAGTTTATTGTATGCTGTGACAGCTCCTGCTGCTGATCGTATGATTAAGACAGTAAGTCAAATTGAACACATTGATTATCCAGGTGATCCATTTGTGACCGGTATTCTTCGAGATGCTGCACAAGTTCAAACGACTAATTTAGCAACATCGGCAGAAAATTTTAAATATGAATTAGCAAATGGTAAATGTAGAGGTGCATTCGAAAAAAATCGAAATTTATTACTGTGTACATCATCATTACATGTTGGTCCAATTGTTTCCATGACTGAATATTTTGAAGCTTGGAATGTGGTAATCGGACAACCGCAACCATAGATTGACATAGATATTACTTAAGAGTTCATTCTGATAATGCGGAATTTGAGAGAATATATGAATAGATAAAATAGAAAAAAAACTGTAAGCAAAAATAAAAAACAAAAATAAAATCGATAGATTGTTTAATTTAAATCGATTCTGTTATTCATACAAAATATGGATTTTATGTTAAAGCTAATTGACAATGAATAAAAAAAACACATGTATAATATCTCTTGTGATCTTTTATAATAAAAAATAAAACTCAAAAGAAAATCTATATCTATATATATATGTTAGTGATTGATTGTTTCAACGATAGAGGTCGCATACATGTGATGAAATAATAAATCACTAAGTTTTTCAAATGATCCAACGGACACGCGTACTTTGTTCGTTTATACTGGTTTTAAAAGAAAATATCTGAATCATCATTATTACTTATTTATTGAGGAGTCAATTGTTCGCTTAGTCTTTTTTCTGATCATAAAATTATTCCAAATGGCATCAGCTGCTGCTCCTACTATCCGTCGTATTCCACCGCCACGCATTTACAGTATGTGATAATCTTTTAGAAAAATCATATACTTGTCGTATATAAATCTTTTTTCTATAGCTTCTATTAATCGACGTCGATCAACAACTGAAACAAAACAAACTTTTGTCTATGATAATGATGATGATCATGAAAAGTTAATTGAAACAAATTTAATAAATATTATTTTTAAAAATATAGATATATTCTATTTAGATGTCTTATTCAAGAGAATGAATTACGTGAACTTAATCGACGACAGTTAATAAGAATTCAATTACTTGAAAATGATTATCGACAATTAGATGATGATATGGCTCAATTACA